CGGATACTATTATAAGGGGGAGATCTCATTTTGAGTACTTGCTCAAAACAGAGAATACAGAACGTAAAGAGATTCTGATACTTGGTGATTTTAACTGCAATGTTCTCGATAAAAGCAAATATAGGCCATTATACTTGAACTTGACCTAGTTCAGGAACTCTAATTGATCACATATATACGACTCACTGTGAAAATGTTTTAAGAAGTGGCACAATTGAACTTGAGTTAAGTGACCACTTCCCCATATTCATAACGCGAAAGATTAATCCTCGCTTATCTACGCACCCAAAATTTCACCAAACTATAACGTACCGTAGAACGAAATGCTTCCACGTCTCGCGGTTTTGCAATGATCTTGACATTCTGCCTCCAGTTTTAATAGAAGTATATGATTCTCCCCAGTGGCGTAGCCAGCCTGACGATTTTGTCCCGCTATGTAAATTTCAAGTTATTATAATTATTCATGTCTTTAAAAATCTATTGTTTTCACATTCAGTGAACACAAAAATATTAGCATAGCGGGACAAATCGACAGGCTGGCTACGCTACTGATTCTCCCGATGATCAATTAGATTTCTTTTACGAGCACTTCCTCTCGGTGTTAAACAATCACGCACCACTTATCAAAAAACGAGTCAAAACTAAAAAGCTTCCTGGGTGGTTTTCTAATGAAATCCGCATCGCTCAAAATTAACGTGACTATTATCTTAAAATGTCCAGGAATAGCACTGTAAAAGATCAGGGGCCGGTTGTATAAAAACGTAGTTAGCGCTAACTGCAGTTAGAAAGTAGTTAAAAAGTAGTTAACTTTAATCACGTAGTTAAGCCGGTTGTATAAATGTGTAGTTAGCCTTAACTGCAGTTAATTATATAAAAAGTAGTTAAAGTTAACTATCCTAAAGGGCATCGTTAACTTTCCAAATCGTAGTTAAAAATGGCGTCTTGAGATTTTAAGGAGTGAGAAAGCATTAAAATCAATACATACCAGAGTTGTGAACTGTTATCCACTCAGAAAAGGCCCTGTTGAAGCTTGTAAACTTTCAATATGCTTTTATTTTTTTCATTTGGGCAGCAACGGAGTATATTTTTGCTTCGGGAGACGTTTCGATGCCAAATTACGATCCTAGCAAAGATTAGCCATCTCCATTTTCAACCGCACCCGGTATTTTGGCTCAAAGGGACCTTTTTATATTAAGAGCGCCTTTTTGGTTGAATTATTTTGAATTTTTCCTTGTTTTATTGCATTTCTTCCAATATTTTAGATCAAAATACTGTCAATTTTTGTAAATACAAGTCCACAGTCTTGTTTAAAGTCAGTAATAGCGGTCAATAATTTCGGGATACTTCATGCTATTTCTCTGTTTAACAACCCCACGCAAGCTCCACGCAAGTTAACTTCGTGATTAGTTAATCATCCGACTAACTACGTTTTGTGCAACGCAGTTAAGTCGTGTAGTTAACTAATCATAGTTAAGGATTTATTTACAGTGATTAGCGCTAATCATAGTTAAAGTTAACTACGTTTTTATATAACCGGCGCCAGGAATATTTTTCGTATCAATTTAAGTCTTGGCGCAACAAGACTGTGTACTTGATCAAGAATACCAAAGACACGTATATTCAATCTCTTCTCAATGTTAATTCCTCAAATCCTAAACAGTTATGGCGTGTTTTAAAATCTACCATCTCTGGTAAGAGGGATACTTCTCCCCTTTGTCTAACTGTTGATAATACAATGTATGATGATGCAGTGTCTATCAGTAATCTTTTCAATGAATATTTTACCAACATTCAGGATATATTTGAAATGAGAGAGTATGCTGACTACAACCAGTCAGCCTTTTCTCTGCCGAATAAGCCAACTCAATTTAGTATCCCTCTCATTACCATTGAGGAAGTATCTGACTCTTGGAATAAATTAAATTCTTCTAAAGCAACAGGACTTGACGGAGTCCCTGCTCACTTCATTAAGCTCCCTGCCAAAATGATACCAATTTCTATAGCTAATATTTGTAACCAAAGCTTTACCACAGGTATCTTTCCATCCTTTTGGAAAAAGGCTAAATTAATCCCAATCCATAAATCGCGTGAAAAGAATGAAAGAGGAAATTTTAGGCCAATTTCGGTTCTAGTTATTCTCTCTAAGATCATAGAAAAGCATGTGTTCAATTTGTACTTCTCTTATCTAACTGATAATAAAATTCTATCGCACCACCAACATGGATTCAGACCGGGGCATTCATGCAAAACTTCGTTGACAATGATTTATGAATATCTTGTTAGTAATATCGAAAAAGGAGAAATCAATGGAGTTCTGGTGCTTGACTTTTCCAAGGCGTCTGATTTAGGCGATCATACTATTTTGCTTCAAAAAATCCGCGCATACGGAGCTACTGATCTAACTCTGAAATGGTTCATATCATACCTAGAAGGGCGAACTCAACAAGTCCAAGTAAGCGACCATTTGTCAGACCCCTTAACAATAAAAACCAGGTCCCCC